ACACACACACACACACACACACACAGAGTTATTCTTAAAAATGTTAGTAGAGCTGGGTGGGGTGGTGCATGACTGTAATCCCAGCAGCTTGGGAGGCTGAGGCAGGAGGATAGCAAGTTCAAAGCCAACCTCAGCAAAAGCAAGGTGCTAAGCAATTCAGTGAGACCCTGTCTAAAAATAAAGTACAATATAGGAGTGAGGATGTGGTTCAGTGGTTGAGTATCCCTGAATTCAATCCCCTATACCTCCACCCAAAATGTGATGGTGAATGCCTATAATCCCAGCAACTCAGGAGGCTGAAGCAGGAGGATCACAAGTTTGAGACCAAGCTAGGAAACTTAGCATGACCCTATCTCAAAATTTTAAAAGGATGGGGATGTGGCCCAGTGGGAAAGGGTATCTGGGTTTCAATCCCCGGTACTGGAAAAAAAATGTTACTCAAATTTATTAACAATTTATTTTATTGAATCTGAATTCTAAATCATGGAATATCCTATACCAAAGCTAAAACAAAATTTACTATGTTTCTTCTAGTATTTTTATAATTCCAGCCTTTACATTTAGATCCTTGATCCATAGGCATTAATTTTTGTGTGTGATGAGAAATATGAATATAGTTTTCTTTTTCCAAATGACTACCCAACTGTCCCAGCACCATTCAAAGAGAAGTACATCTTTGCCCCAGTGAAATGAAGTATCATATTAATTTCCATATATACTTGGATCTATTTCTGGGCTTTTTGTTTTATTTCTTTTTATTTTATTGGTAAACTGGCCTGTTTACCCATAGCATCAGATTGTCTCAGTTGTACAAACTTCAATATATGTTATTTTTAGTTGTATACAGACATCATACCTTTATTTTATTTATTTAGTTTTTTTTTTTTTTTTTTTAATGTGGTTCTGGGGAAGGAACCCTGTGCCTCATACATGGTAGGCAAATGTTCTACCACTGAGTCACAACCCCAGCCCTCAATATATGTTTTAATGTACAATAGGTTCCTAAGTGACTTCTTGTAGCTCTTCACTTTTACTGCTTTCCTGGCAATTCCTGCATATTAATTTTTTCATATGAATTTTCATATCAATGTCTTCAGTTCCATTAAAAAATTGTTGGCATTTTATTGAAATTGACTTAAATTTAAAAGTTAATTGGTGGAGAGCCAAAATTTTGGTGCTATTCATTTGTCACCCAAAAATAAGGGGTGTTTTTCTATTTATTAACTTCCACTCTTGCATCTTTTAGGAGTGTTTTAAAATTGTCCTCATATTACCCTAAGTATTTTATCTTCTCTGTTGCTATTGAAATGGAACTATTT